CGTACTCCTTCCTAGACAGTCTCTTCCCATTAGGAGACAATTGTTAAGTGTTACCATGTTCTAAAGCCTCAATCTGCAAACACACAACTGTGTAACTTTTCTTATGCATATAACTGTTTGGAGGATTGGAGACAATGTCTTATTCTCCAGATTTAAGATCTTGGAAAGACAGCAGGTCACCTAGCTCCATATGGCAATCTAATACTAAGTAAATGTACTTACATCTAGAGATAAGACTCTCAAACCATTTTAAGCATTTACAGTGTTAATTTGCCTAAATTTTCCCAGAGGTTTTGCCTTTGGATTCAGAAATTACAGCTTCAGTTACAGAATCTCTCCTCCCACAAACATTTTGTGAAAGTAAATAGAGTGTGAAGTCTGCAAGGGAGCAATTCCCTGGCTTGAACACAGGGCTTTCTTACACAGAGCTCCCTGGTGCACCAGGACACAGGGAGCTCAGAGGTTAGCTCACAGACATGTGCGGGAAGCAGACAGGAAATGGACAACACCCTCACTGTGATCTGTATATACAAAAGTTGAAGTGACTTATCACAACCTCACTATCATCAGCTAGCAAATGGCCCCTCACAGCTTGCCAGCTTTTTGGCTCTCCCACGGACTCCTTTTATCATTTAACGATTCCAGGTCTCTGCTTAAAAAAATAGTCTAAGAAATACATGTGCATTATTCCTGGGGTACTTGCCTTCCGCTGTGTCCAGGGGGGAGGGAGAAGAACATTACCCCAGTACTTCTGGCTGTTTTGGGATTGAACACTCTCATCCGGAATGCAGGGTTTCCACAGGACTCATTCTCTTTGGCATGTGGGTGACTTAAAACAACAAACAGGAGGCCCTGATTTACAAAGGAAAAATAGGTCACTAGAGTGAATGTTAAGAGAAAAACAATAACAAGCTGTTTTTTTCCAATCAATCATTGGTAAATTCTCTCCTGTAATCAGAACCCCATGTCAGCTGATGCTGTAAGCAGTAAGAACTTACCACTCCTGGTATTTATCAAATTAAATACAAACAAATGCAGGAGCTGCTGGGAGGCTGGTTGATTAGGATTTATTTGGTGCAGTGGAATGACAGGTCAGTGACACAATGAATTTATGCACTTCTTTTTCAGCTCAGAATAGCTAACATCATATCAGGATTAACTCACACAGAAAATAAGTTTGTTGGTCTCAATCTAGTCATTTATTCACATAACAAAACTACTGCACAATTAGACATGACTGGGAGCTTCTGCTTAAGGCAAGGCCAGGCTGAGAGTCAGATCTTGAAGAATCCCCCACTGGTCTGGCTCAAGCCAGTACTATTAATCCACACATTCATAAGCACTAAATTTACACACCCACAGGATTAAACGTTCACTGAGATGTACCCCAGTCAAGAATCCTAAGAATGCAAGTGGGCAAAGGAATCATGGCAGAGGTGCTAATGAATGGGAAGATCCATCAGAATTAGAACCAAGACTTAGTACACAAATTTGTGTGTTTAGATCAAGTTCTGAGTGTTTGGGGTACGTGTAATTATTAAATAATTGTAGTGTTACAAGGATGAGGCTGTGCCATCAGCGTGGCCGGAGCTAGCCATTAGTAAATTGGGAAAGATTAACTGTGCAATCACACCAATCAATGATAGTTCTAAAACACACACACAAAATGTTTTGGCAGCTGTTTTTGAACCTACTGTGGTGTGTTACTCTTTTGCTTACCAATATATCTGTGAAAAGAACAAGAAATTCAGAAAAGTGATTCAACCTCTTCCTCACAAACTAACTCCGTTTTCCTTTAATTTTCTTAGTGGACCTGAACACAACAGGTCCTTAAATCCAGGAGCCTCTTTTAGACAACTGCACCTTTGAACCCCAGTCACAGGCACTCATGGCACAAATAGAATGACACCATCTCACATACATACAGAGTCAGAATAGACGCGATGGCAGATTGAAGCAGGATAGGAATAACCAACGTGCATCTTTTTCAGAATCTGGCCAGTTTTCAAGTTCCTGCAGAAAATGGAAACAGATAATTTGACTGTTTTATAATCCTCTTATTTGTATTTATTATTTAGACTGCAGTAGCACCAGTGAGCAAGGCACTGTCCAAACAAATGACTACTCCAAAAAGGTGGTAGACAACGGGTGAGGGAAAGGGATGCAACATACAAGTGCTGTGAGCAGCGCTGGGATGGCAGCACGGCCCGTTAGCTATATGTTTATCTAGATTTATAAAAATAAATCAGAAAAAAAAGTTCTGTTCCAGGCTCTAGGGCCCCTTGACAATGGATTTAAAATAATTAACAACTTAAGGACAAACCAGCAGCAAACTCCACCACATAGGATCTGTAACTAGCTAATACAGCCAAAATCACTATACATCCTCTCTTCCCACTGTATCATCGCACAAGCAACAGTCCCTCCTCAAAAGCCCTAGTGATATAGTGTAATCTCAGAGGAAGCACTTACCAAACAACAAGGCTGTTCACTCCAGTTGTGCCAACCAAAGCGTCTCTAATCCCTTCTACCTCAGCAAAAGCCAGAATGGTTTCTTCTGGGGGCATCAAAGTCTGCCTCTCATTGCTTCTGGGGAGAACATGAACATAAACAGTAGATGGGAAAAAACTCTCAGAATTCAATACACAAGAGAATCGTTCACACGCAGCAATATTCCAGAAAGGACAGCATACGATCCCCTTGGCACCACAGATACCACTGCCCAGCCTTTGTGACATCTCCTGAGGGCTCTCCCATCCCCATACTGAAAACACCACAAATATCAGACTGCTTACCTTCCTGCCTCCGAAACTGAGATTATCTCGATTTGCTGGTCTTGAAGTGTCCCACTACTACTGACCAGCCTCCTGTTTGTCAGACCAAGAACAGCTTTTATGTTCCCGGTTTTCACTAGGGACTGCTTTAAGGAGCCGTCTTCAGAAGACCAAAGCAAGAGCCTAAACCAAATCAGAACAGAAAGCTACATCATAATGAAGGCGAAGGAAATGGAACCCAAATCTGGCCTTCTGTAGCACATAGGAACGACTGTGTTTCGAAGTGGTCACACCTGCACCAATGTGAGGAAATAAGGAGTAAGAGAATTCTTGTAGATAGTTGATTTTTTGCCTTTACTCAGATATTTTCAAAAATGCTTTAATATTTGCAAGATCACTTAAAACTGACATATCAGCAAAAGACTACTTCAGCCTCTGGGCAAGAGAAGAGGTCAAGTAACACAAAATTATCTGCAGTCAAGCTGGAGAAATCAGGTTGGAAATGTTCAGTATGCAATAAAAAGCACACACCCAGAAACATTCACCTTATTTCTCCAATCTCCAGATCTCCCAAGGCAACACACACAAGATTACAGACATCTGGCAAGGGAACAATTTGTATTACTGGAATCTGTGAAGGCAAAGGACAGGGATTTAGTTAGGGACACCCATAAGCTCCTTCTCAGTTTGACTTTCTCCCCATTATCAAGAAAAGACTGCATTGTTTGCAGGACCATGACTTATTTTCTCAGTCTTCAAAAGAAATAGTTAGATGCAGCAAAGAATCAATAATCATCAAATCTGTCCTTAATCTAAACAAAGAGGCAATGATCTTTGGGGAGATAAGAGGAGACGTCAAAAGAAGTTGAGGAGTTTAAGGACATAAAGAGGACACCAAGAAGTCATGCTGCTGTACAATCAACATCCAGTATGTGGAGATCTATACAATCGTAAAGAACTAAAATTTAATATGAAATTGAATTGTTCAAAATATTTGTGCCAAATTCTTAGCTGGTGCAAATCCAGTTGCTTAGCTGACTTCAGTGGAGCTACACCAACATGTGCCAACTAAGGATCTGGCCCACTATGTGTAAGAAAATGTACATTCCCCCTTGTGAGTCTACAGGGTGTGTGTGTCTTCAGAAGTGGCCCAATACTGCTAGAAAACTGCCTCGAAGTGAAGAAGAAACTTCTGTGTACTCTACCTCTGTAAGGTGCCAGGTGTACACCTTGCTCCACTGGTTGGAAGCCAGAGGTTTCCACAGGGAAATGGAAGTCTCACAAGCAGTTACGATACACAGCTCTGTGCAGCCAGCTGATTCCCACCAGACAGTGCTCACGTCCACAGCACAAGAACTTGAGGGGTTCTGCTCAAAACAAAACAGTGTTGAAGTTATTCCAACAACTACGGATATTCAGCCTGGAGATTCAGGTTAACTCTTGCATGAAATCACTTCCAGAGTGCCAGTGTGATAGAGATTTGGAGTTGGGGGTTAGTGCCTTAGATTTTGACTTCGGAGTGCTGGCTCCCAATGCCAGTTAGGCCATAAGGAAAAAGAGTTTGGTGGTTTCGTCCTAGAAGTAATGGATATCTATCCATCCACCCACAGCACAAAACCACCTGCCATTTGTACACAACAGAGAGCCTGCAAAGGTGGATCCAAGACCTGAAACACAAGGGGCATCAGGGCTGAGGTACAGTAGCCAAGCTGTATGATGAAGCTTGCACACCACCTGCTTGTACCCAGTACTGCTATTTGCCTCATGGTCACAGGCAGGAGGGGAGAGGCTGCAGATAACACAGATCACGTAGGATCACTGTAGACAAGGTTTAATTTTAAACAGGCGGCAGCATTTTTCTTCATCCTTGTAATGAAACATTTGGATCCAAACTGTATTATTTTTGGTTGGCGGTGCAGGGTTTGGTTCCAAGGCCTAGAGATGACCCAACTTCTGCAAGTTCCATTGCAGCTTTAGAGTTCAGTGGACTTCTCCACAGCTGTCACTGCCCTGCCCCCCAACTGTTCTCTACCCCCTACAAGACATAAAAGGCACGGGGACAGTGAGGAGAGACCATGTGAGAGGGAGATCGGATAGCTCAGCTGTGCAAACAACCTCACTTGTGGCACACAAATGCATCAAACGCCAAATTCAGCTCCAAGCAGGCGTGAATGTCAGCATGCTCTAGACCTAACATCATTGACCCAGTAAGGAGCAACCTCAAATAACCTTCAGAGATGGAGGGAGGAGACAGGAGAACAATGAAGCACTGCCGCCACACAGTCTGCAACGCTTGGGGAAGCAGTAGAGAAGCAAGAATCAGGCAACCATTTTCCCTGAGGCTGAACAGCAGTGTCTGTGTTCTGTCTGTTGATACATTTGCAGTTGTTGAGACACTTCCGTGTTTGGGATTTTTGTGTGCGTTTGCTCTTCAGTTATACACAGATGCACTGGAGTTTGACTCAAGCTCTCTAGTTGCTTTTTGTGAAAGACCACGAGGGGATTGAGTGATTATGGGCAGGGTCTATTTTTTTTACTAGTCTATTTTGTTTTGCATCATTTATATTCGTTTAATTGTGCTTTTATTTAGACTTCAGATAAACACATTTTAAAAGTCTCAGTAAATAAAGAAATACTTTGTATTTAAAAACTCCATTTGTGGATGTAACTCAAAATATTATTCCCCAACCTTTAGCTTTGAGGCCAGTTGCAAGCTCCTGTCTCTCAGGTTGTCACTCAGTGCCACGGCCAACTGCTCTGCTGTCAGTTTGTTCTGGACAAACAAAAAGCATGGACTGATTAAATACAATTTCAACAAATTATGCTCCGCATGTACCAGTGCATGTGCAAAAGAGTGCGCTCACTCGACGTCAGATTGCTGGACAGCAGCTTTAAGAACATCACTTTTGTACTAGTACATTTTGGAAAACAAAATTCTCTTTATTCTTTATTCTCTGAATTTTCTTTATACCCACTTCAAACCTCCAACCTCCTGGTTGTTGGAGGTGGGTATAAAGAGTAACCGTGTTTTGTTGACCACCACTCTGTGTGTAGTTATTCCTTCCTTTCCCCACTCCCATCTATTATGCTGACTGTTTTGTTCTCTATTGCTGTCCTTACAGAGTTCCGGCCGAGAGCCTTTCCTAAGGCAGGTCGGCTTTGACCAGGGGCCCAAGAAACATTCTGCTCACTGGCATGGTTAGAATTTACCTCCCATAACTAGTAGCAAAGTCCACAGTTCAAGGGGGATTTTGAAGGATTTGCTCTGCTGCAAGGCTGGGATGGCCTGGACAAACTCAAACATTTACAAACAGGCAGCTAAGGGAAACCACTGCCTCTGGCTGCACACAGAGCTAGCATGCAGGAAGGCCTTGTCCCTGAACCTGAACAGATTTTGGGAAAGATGGCTCACAGATAGAACCACTGCCCTGGTGCTCCCTGCCAGGATGTCTCTGCCTTTACCTCTGCACTGCAGCACTCCTTGGAACCGTTCCCTGGTTGCTGATACTCTTTGAGGGTGACAGCTTCATCAAACCTACAGTCAAATCCTGGTCTGCAGCTATCTGAGTGCAATGCACCTGTGGAGTTATTACACTCCCTCCCATCCACGACATGACTGGCTGGTTCTTTGAAGAGATTCGTTTTCACTTGCAAAGGAAGTACAGAAAGTGTGTCAGGTAAGGTCTCATTGTGTACCAGTGACAGGATAGCTGGGGTTGCACCCAGGACAGGGAAAGCAGGTGTGTGAATCTGTGATTCAAGCTGGTTGATTGCACCAGCTGAGACAGTACTTGCCGGAGTTAGCAGCAATTCCCTTGGAGAAAGCCCCTTCTTGTGCAACTGCCCTTCTAAGTGAGGCTGTTTAGGTGACATAGTCTTTGAAGGAGAAATAAAGCTATTTTCTAGACTCTTCCCTTCTGTATTCACTTGTTTAAGTCTCGTGTCCCCTAAAGTCACAGTGTCTCCAGCACTCTGGAGCCAGTGTTCAGACCCTGAAGGAACAAAGGGCTCCAGCTGTTTCACTGTGCCGGATTGTAGTTTCTCAAATTTAAGGAGACCAAACTCCTCATCAGGTAACTGAAAGTCTTTGATGTCCAGCTTCGAGGGCAGCCACTTGACACTGAGCATCTCATTCTGGAAGCGAAAGGGAGGATCGAAGGCCATAGGATCCAGACCAAGATGGCCTAGAGGAGTTGGACCTTCCAAGTCCATCTGTTGACTGCGCCCTCTTTTACCTAGAAATAGGAAAGCATGAGAATACAGAACTGAGAACTTAGAAGAGAGATGGTCACATTGTTGCACAAATACCCAGAAAACATGCAATTCTCTTCTCTCATTTAATGTATTAGAACAAAACCTCTGTCTATTTCACAATAGAAGTAAGATTTTCCCAGAAAATGCTCCCTCCCCCCAATGATTTTTGTTTCCAGACTTTTGATTGTAAGCTCCCAGGGCAAGGGCTATCTTTATCTGTGCCTTGGACAGTGCCAAGCACTTTGTAAGCACTTTAAGCACTGCTGATGCCTGGATACTATGGTGACTGGTGTCCTAAAAAACTAAGAGAGGGGCACGTCTGTGCAAATCCCATCCTTGCACGCATGCACTGAGTACCGTAAGCACGTGACTCGTGCACACCTTGCTCCTGGCCCAAGTATTTTCCACACAGTTCCCCAGCCATTTCTTCTTATCTGTTTCACAACAGTGAGCAACCAAGGCCAAGCATGGGAGGAGAAGCTTAAGGATCATAGAAGGCCCAGAAAATGAGCTTTTGAGGTGTTTATTTGCCAGAAACGCTCTCCTCAATTTTTCTGACTCTAAAATATGGAAAACAAGAGAGGCCATATCTGCAGGAGGATCAACCACAAAAAGGTACTTTAGAAAAAGGTACTTCAGCCAGCAAGACAACAGGACATCTAGGTAGCAAAAAAAGCAGGAAGGTAAGTTTAAGGAAAAAAAGAACCAAGGCTAGGCTAAGGACAAACAGGAGCAAGGTACTAGCCCTGTATGGTCTTTCCCTCTCCCCAGTACTTAAGTTCTAGCTTTAGGGAACTCTCTGATTTTTCCAAGCAACAATTCAGTCAGGTACCTTTAGATCCTTGCCTCACTTTACGTTTCACAGAAGAAGTTGGGAGATCGTGCTGAGGTAGAGATTCTTTAACTGTTGGCAGCTGCTCAGCCCTGCAGACTTTCTGCACACACTGATTCCTAATGTGTCCCACTGGCTGTTTATCAGCCTGACTCACGTTTACATTGGCTTCCAGATCTCGTGTGGGGCTGGGGAAAGCTTCATCCCATGGATTTAAGAAACTATTTCCTTGGAGTGGATTTTGAATATGTTCTAATGGAGGCTGATGGCATTTGCTGAATGTTTGGCTTCCATCAGGAAGATCAGCCTCAGTTGGCCACATAACGTCTATCATTTCCGCTTCTGGAGCCTCACCAGCTGCAGGGACAATCACCCTTGTTTTGCATATAGGTGACCTCTCAGGGTCACCCTCACAGTTTTCCTTTTCACGTTGAGAATCATTTGACAAGAGATGACTGTTTTCCTTTAGCACTTTGAGATCTGAAGTCTCAGGACGTGCTTGTGACCCATTCAGTGCAGGTCTGCAGGTAGAACCCCATCTGCCCCTTCCTCTCCTCCAGGATTTTCCCTTAGCTTGTTTCGTACTAATAACAGTCTTCTGAGAAAGAGAACCATTGGAGGTGCTGCTCTCATCTGATGGAGGGAGAGATTTCTGAGAACTACTTGAACTCACTGGGTCACTCTCTGCACCTAGAAAAGGGAAGGGAGTGCCTCTTGCCTGCACATCACTTCTGGTGGTTTCTTGGTAGAGCTGATCTGAATTTATCTGCTTTTGTTTACTTCGCAGCCCTTTCCTGCTCCTGCCCAACTGGCTGAGAATGACAGCCTCCAGGTCTACTTTCCTCTGGCAATTAGACATACGCCGAGTTGTCCTAACATAATATTCTACAGGAAAGAGAAGTCCTTCAATCATTGTGCAAGAGCTCAGTGCGCTTTCTGCTGCAGGAGGAGTCTTCTCTAGGACAGGAGACCCTGCTTCAGTCTGAGCCTCTTGATTCCCCAAAGGTTCTTCAACATCATCCAGAAGAGACTCAGTGTTCAGAGGACTTGAGCTATTGGCCTCATTGTGGTTTCTTTCGTTATGGGGTCTGCTTTCACTAATGCTAGGGTTGCTACTGCCTGCCGGGGATGATTGATTATCTGCGGTTAAATCCAAGGCCCTACACAACTCTTCCCGATCCATTTGGTTTTCTATACAGGCAAGTTCTTTTCCTGTATTGTCAATGTTTTCCAGTGAAACAGGGATATCACTCACTAAACACTGGGGCAGTGGCTCATAGCTATCACAGATGTCCTCAGCACATGGAGAGACAGGCTGCTGAACGTTATTGCCACCCATCAACATGTATGAAAGTGGTTTGGGGACACTCAGAAATACATTCTCTTCAGGCATTTCCTGCAAGTCTCCTACCTGTGGCTCTTGAGGCGTTAAACCTTTTTCTTCGCTCACAATGACCGGCCTGGGGGGCTTCTGAATTTTATTCTTGGTGTTTGAGATGGTGTTCCTCCCCTTGAATACTGGTGACCCAGGCTCCTCTGTACTGGCCATTTGATTGTCCAACGTTTCCCCAGCACTGATTGGTGGCACTTCACAAGCTGATTCTCTCCCCTCTGAGACCAAAGTCATTCTACTCCTTGGCAGTTGGTTTTGGTTCTCCTCAATAACAGATCTCATGAGGTCAGAGGGGATATTTTCTGGGTCACTATTTGTGCTTTCTGCCAATGAATTTTCCTGCAAGTTAACTTCATTGTTGAAGAATTCAGGCTCAAGTTTAAACGTGACAGACATTTTTTTCTCAGTGCCTGAGTCAGAACAGGTATTGGTCTGTAACCGACATGTTCCAGGTTTATTGCCACCATTGGGAGACTGTTTATCCATCAGTTCTGTGGAGACAAATGCGATTTGTGAAGAGCATTCCCGCAGAAAAATCCCACTAAGACAGGAGGCAACAAAGCAAAACCAGAGACAATTTTAGCAAAAATGGCAAACTAAGGGTTCTGCAAAAATAATTCCACGACATTTTATATTTCAGCCAAGAAAATAAAGCAGACACACCATATGATGCTCAGTTTACTAAGCATACACCAAATGAATACATGCTTAATAAGAAATGATGCTTCTAGAAACTAGGTGGTACAATGTGTTAATCTACTGGTCTTTCATCTCTGAAGACCTTTCTTGAGCCTGAAAAGGAACTGAGATGGATAGTTTCATCCTTATCACTATCAGGCAAGCACAAACATACCAGCACAAATGAAAGACTCTGCCCAACACTAGAACAGAGGTGGTAACACCAGACTCAAGAAGTACTGGCAAATGGGGGTAGGACTGTAATTATGGATGATAGTGTGGGTCATGATTTAGGGGTATTGTCAGAGCCACATATTGTGTGCCTAGGGGTAAGGCAACAATTGAATAAAGGGACAATTCAAGTCAGAATTTTCATGAGTGTCAACAGAGCTGGGAAGCACCCTAGGACTGTAGTATCACATTGTGCCATAGGTCAGGACTGAGGTGCATAGGGAGAAGTAGGCGGTAAATCAGAGTTGGCACCTAAGTCTTGACATGCAACACATACTAGACTATATTATACTACTTCTATACTATACTGAACTGCAGTGTGGGATCACACAGCTCTATTCATAAGGCCAAAAAGTTAAAGAAAGAAAGAATCATGTCTCAACAGGTTATATTTTGAACTGTTACCTGTGGTATTATTCTCCGTTTCCTCTTGCCTAAGCAATCGATTTTGTTCTGCAACCGTTTTCTTAACATGATTTTTAACCCTCTCAGCTCTTTGTGCACGCTGTTAAAACAACAAATCAATGACTCAGCATTTCATTGTCTGCACTTTTTTTTTTTTTTAAGAATAAACGTCATCTCCCAAAATCTCAGCACTTTTCACCAAATTTATCATTCAGAAACACAAGAGTCAGGCAAACCTAATAATTCAGGATTAAACAATGGTGCTTACCTACCTGTAACCTGTTGTATGTTTTGCTGTATTCTCTTTTCAGGAAGGCTAACTTTTCTTTCAGCTAGAAAACAAAGATGACACATCACAGACATTACACGATGCCAACAGTAAGTAAACACTGAACCAGGGCCTAGAATTGTGCAGTGACATTTTAAACCTAGAAAATTCATACACCCAGACACTCAAGCATCCTGAGAAATATTAAAGCTTCATTGCCCAAGACCAGTGCTTAGTTCTCAGGCCTCTGTCCCAATCTTCTTATTCACTACTCTGACCACGTCAGACCATCTTCAAATCCCTCTACTAGCCTCCCATACCAAGCATATCTTTTTATCCTCACCTACAAGGCCCTGTACAATGCCATTTCTGCGTGTACACCTTCTTCCTCAACACCCCAACTCATCTGTGACCTTTGCCTCTTCTTGCCTTCAGGTCTTTCTCCATCCCACACCTTCTACTTGGAACTCTCTCCCATTCTGAGTGCCAAAGGGCATCCTTCTCTATTAAAATTCCCCTTTACAAGCAACTGCTTCTGGGAGGTATTTCAGCAATAAGCCATTGTGTACTGTAGAGAAACTGTAGTAACTCACAATTGAGATCTGAAATGTTCCATTATAAGGCTGATTTTTACACATCCAATTGCTCAACTTTACCAGAATTAACAAATCCATCTGAAAATTGCCCTGCAAGATCCAATGGAATGGTAGAAGCTTCCTGGGAAGCTTGAGGAGGACTGACTGAGGTATTCACAAGATAACGGAGATCCGAAAATGAGGTGGGCCAACTTTCTGAAATATTTCCTAATACTGTTTTGCCCCTTCACAGCTCAAAACCAGCTTGAGCTAGAAGTGCCAAATTTGATTTGTTGAGCTGGTCTCTTTGAGAAGGACAGAAGGTTTCTTCATGATTAAAGGGGAGGACCTGCTTAGTCCCACTGCCCACACAATACAAAGGCTTGGGCTCCAGAGTTTTCAAACTCTGAACCAGCCAGAATGGCAGCCTCTGAAACTGTCACATGTAGTTCCAAACACCCGAAGGCTCATGTTAGAACTGCCACATCATGTGCATCTTAGGATGTCCTTAGCCCAGGCTGCAAGCAAATTTCACATAAATATTTTCCCATGTTAAGCCATAATGGGCTTAAATTGCCAATGGGCTTAAACTGCAGCAAGGGCAGTTTAGGTTGGACATTAGGAACAACTTCCTATCAGGGGGGTTAAGCACTGGAATAAATTGCCCAGGGAGGTTGTGGAATCTCCATCACTGGAGATTTTTAAGAGCAGGTTAGACAAACACCTGTCAGGGATGGTCTAGATAATACTTAGGGCTGGTCTACACTAGGGGGTGTGTGTGTGTGATCGATCCAAGATACGCAACTTCAGCTACGTGAATAGCGTAGCTGAAGTCGAAGTATCGTTGGATCGAATTACCTGGGGTCCAGACGG